AGGAAAGTATCCAACCTATTGTCTACACTGAACATACCCCCTTGTTCCAAAACAACACTCAAGAAAAGAGAGAGGGAAATAGGACAGGCTGTTGAGGAAATTGCTCATTCCAGTTGTTCTGATGCTGCTGTTAGAGAACGAGAATTGACAGAGTAAGACCCAAAAAAAATAATTTTAATAAATTCATATAAAGGGAAATGTATACTTATTCAGATATCATGTAAATAATGGAAGAAAGCTTTTTCTTCACCTGTATCATAATGGACAGTTGTAGAAAATAAGAAGTTTCTGTTACACTCACAAGATATAAATTTGTACGCTGTCTACCTTATAATACATTATTTTTTGTACTTCAGAGAATCTCCTGTATCTGCATCATTTGATGGTGGCTGGCAAAAACGGGGATCAGGGAAATCTTACAGTAGTCTTTCTGGTAATTATTTGCAAAATAAAGAACTTCATATTTATAATTTCACTCTATGAAATATAATAATCTGTTTCTGGATAAATATTTATTATTATAAAAATAATGTAATCAGAAGAGTCGTATCAAGTCGAATTGACAGGGGCAAATGATCAGATTTAACAAGACACGAAGCACCTGTTAATGAAATGTGATACGGCTCTTCGGATCAAGTTACTGTTGTAATGATAAATATATTATATACCCTCTACAATTAGCAAACATAATAAAATGAAATTTTTGTTAGCAGTTAAATATTTTTAATTCATTAAAGAGAGTATTTTTCCAATGAACACTTTGATACGCAAGAAAAATAATGTATGGGAATTAATGTCGGAGCTATTGCAGAAAAAATACATAACCCTCGTAAGCAGGGTATGTAATTTTTCTGCAATAGATGCAACATAAATTCATGTACTAACAACCAAAGAAAGCATTTTATTATCTATTAAATGAAGTGTGTTCATGCTTCATTATAAATATGTGCAAACATGAAGAATTGTAGTTCATGTACCTCATGACTTTTCAAATATTAGACTAATTTGTTATGTTTATATTATTTATCTGATGACAAATCACAGATTATATGATTTTGAATGATAATTAAAAATTGATTTCATTATATTTTTTAAGTCATGAGGTGTCCATGTTCATTATTTGAGTTCATGAGGAAAAGGTTTGCATTACTATTTGAGAAAATTTTTTTGGAAAAATTTATAAAAAAATATAAATAAACATATACATGTGGGTTATTTTTTTAAGTAGTGTAGAATATCTGAGTATGTTTATAAAGTTTTCTAGCATTTTCACTTGTTAAAAAAATGAAGACTAAGTAATAATTAATTGAATCAGACATATTTTGTTTCTCTGTTATTCTTAGGGTTAATAGAATTTGATGATCTATTTATATTTATATATCTTTTTCAGGTCATGCTTCTTTCATTGGAAAGAAAACTGGGAAATGCATTGCGTTTTCAACTAGGAATAAATACTGCAGAAAGTGTGACCTTGCAACAAAGAAGAGATGCAGTGTGGAAGACCATGATTGTAGAAAGAACTGGGAAGGTAGTTCGAAGGCTATGGAAGCAGATATGTGTATTTCCATGTTGAAAAATCTGGAAAGAAATGATGTAAGTGTTGGAACTATTATAATGGACAACGACTCAACAACAATTTCCAGAGCCCGTGCAGAAGTAAAACCTGACCTACAAAAGCAATGTGACAGAAATCACCTTCTCAAGGACTTTACCAATAAACTATATGATCTCAGGAAAGCAAAGAATTTCAAGGAGCTCACACCAAAAACGATTGCACACTTATCGAAATGTTTTCGATACTGTGTATCACAACATCAGGAAGATGCGGAGGAAATGAAGACAAATTTATTGGCACTGGGTAAACATGTATTTGGAGACCATTCATATTGTGGTTCATGGTGTGGATATTTGCAGAACCCACTAAAGTACAAACCCAAAAACCTTCCCTACAGCAGGTACCTTTGTGATGAAAATTTAAAGACTTCCGTTATGGATTTGCTGAACAAATACGCAAGTGAAGCTGATAAGTTAACCCATTTAGGTAGTTCTCAGCCTAACGAGAGCCTGAACAATACAGTTTCCAGCAAGGCACCCAAATCCAACTTCTACTCTGGGTCACAGAGCAATGACTATCGAGTTGCAGCCGCCATTGCCCAAAAAAACCTGGGTTATGGATACGTTTCTGAAGTAAGTATTTTAAAATGAATTAAAATAGGTCCACAATTACATGACATTTGCATTTTGTTTTTTTCTTGAAAATTCCATTGAATATGTATATATTAATTGCAGGTGTGTCAATCTGTGATGTTATCTCCTGGAGAAATTACCAAAAAGATTTCAAAGGATTATGACCAACAGAGAGAGAAGGCAAGAGAAAGAGAAAGCACAGTTGAGTTCAAAAGGAGGAGGAGAGAGAAAAAGGAGCAACAAAGTAAACATCAGAAAACATGCGAAGTGAGAGAAGGAGTATCATATGAAACTGGTGTGGACATGAATAACAACATATGCAGTGATGATGTCTGTGAAATACCACCACCTATAACTGAACCAACCTGCACAGTGATAAAGCCTGGAATGGATTATGCTTATGTGGCATTTGATCTGGAAACTACTGGACTTGGTACGTTTTGTCATAAAAATATTGCGTTTGAAGGTTTTAGAAATAATATAATCTTAATTTGATTTTTGAATTAATTTTCTCTAAGCAAATTTAAAAGTATGCATGGCATATTAATAGTTTGATGTGTAAAATATTTTTTATCTCATTGTACTTCACAGGTCAAGATTGTGAAATTACTCAAATTGGGGCAACATACACAGACGAATGCAGTTTCAGCGAGTATCTTCTACCTTCCAAACGAATTTCAACGAGTGCTATTGCTCTGACTGGTCTTACTGTTGCTGGGAACCAGATGTATAAAGAAGGTCAACCAATTCAAGCAGCACCCCCATGTGAAGGACTTGGGAACTTTTTACATTGGTTGTCTTCAATTCACAAGCCAGTAGTGTTGATGGCTCATAATGCTAGATTTGATGCAAATGTCTTTTGCCGTGCGTTAGTAGGAAACAAACTACAGGATGATGCTGGGAAAGTTATTCAAGGATTTGTCGATACTCTTCCACTATTTAGGAAAAGTGTGCCCGGACTCTCCTCCGACAAGCAGACTGATCTGGTTAAAAGTCTCCTTCAAACATACTACTGTGCACATGATGCAGCATCTGATGCAAGATCTCTTCGTCAACTTGTAAATTCTCAGGCCTTCTCAGAGGACCTCCTTCTACAACACAGTTTTTCACTTGACTCATACATCAGTATTATTCAGTATCATGAGAAAGTGCAGAAAAACAATTCATCACTAATATGCTTAGTGGAAAATAAAGTTATTTCTAAAATGATGATGACTCGTATCGCCAAGTCTGGACTTTCCTTATCGCATCTTCTACTAGCTGATAAAAGAGACTCTGAAAATGGGGTGTTAAAGTTGCTCTCTGAGAGAACACATGAAGGCAAAGCAAGGGTGACTCCTAATAAGAAAATCATTGGAAACATATGTGTATTCCTTAAAAACATGCACGACTAACAAGACGTCTGTGAGCCAATACTAAATAATAATACCCCCGCTCTGATGTGAATATACACTATCATGTTAATATACACAAGTTCAATTACAGGCAGATGCACAGATAAATAGGAGGTTGGCATCAGATTCATATGAAAATTAATCCAACCATATGGCATGCCTCGACAAAGTATGTGCTAGAATTTCAAGCATCTGTATTGAGTAGTTGCTGTGAAAACTGTGACAAAAATAATTTTTGTGTATGGTACCGACAGACACACGTATAAACTATAAACAGGAAGTTGACATCGGAATCGAACAAAAATTAATCCCAGCATATGGCATACTCAAAAAAGATTGTGTTAAAATTTCAAGCATCTATGATGAGTAGTTGCTGAGAAAACTGCGTCAAAAATTTATCGTGTATGAAACGGACAGACGCATGGATAAACAGGAAGTTGACATTCTGATTCCAACAAAAATTAATCCCAACATATGGCATACCTCAGAGGATTGTGTTAAAATTTCAAGCATCTGTGATGAGTAGCTGCTGAGAAAACTGGATCAAAAATTTGTTGTGTCTGAAACGGACAGACACATGGATAAACAGGAAGTTGACATTGGATTTGAACAAAAATGAATTCCATCACATGGCATACCTCTGAAAAAATTGTGTTGAAATTTCAAGCATCTGTGATAAGTAGTTGCTGAGAAAACTGTGACAAAAATTTTTTACAGACGGACAGACAGCTAGACAAACACACAAGGGTAAAACAGTATACCCTCCACTCCTTTGGAGCAGGGGTATAATTAAATGTGCAATTTACAACTGCCTTTGTTAATTTTTAAATAGCAGAATAAAGTGGGACAAAGGGCAGTAAGTCCTAAATAGAAAAGAGAAGCATAAAGAGGTACATTATCGGTATAAATATTGGTAAATACTTCATTTTTATCAGGAAATCATATAAAATTGACATACAAGAAAATGTATCATATAATTGTTAATTAAATATCTTAATTAGTCAAAATTTGCTCCTTTAAAACTAATGATTTAAGATATTTCTCATTTTACATTGGAACCAATATTAAATGACAAATGTTAATTTTGAGCATTTTTTAAATTTTGAGCATGGAAAGATGTGTTGATAGAGTCATTTCTTGTCTGTTAATGCACAGTGAAAACCCATGAAAGATTACTGTATAATTCTGTCCATAAACCAGAAACGTTGCCAATCCCCTTAAAAGAGCTGGTAAAAAATAACAATGAAGCACAATGATTTTCTCAGAATACCTGCATTGTCTTGAGTTTTACCCGTCTTTAATTTCAAATTACAATAAATTCTTAGCATTTACTATTGTTTCAATACAAAAGCATGTATATTTTTATATTCTTTATTAATTAGAAGCGTACAGTTTGTTTTGTTTCTCAGTAATACAGTTTTAAGAACTTTCTAGACGACAGAGCGCTGGATGGAGGGAGTTACAGTCAATTGGTGATATGTGTGATCTGAAGAGATATGCGGAGACTGCGCACTCATGGACGGAGTTTTTAGGTACTGTCTGATTTCTAAAGAGGGCATGCGAGATCCTGTCTCCTGTGGATTCCCATATCCAATGCCGCCTGGTGTCGTAAATGGCGTCTATATATGTAGACATGTAGGCAAAACCCGGATCTAAAGCATTGGAGGGATTTTGAACTAATTCATGTTTAATTCATTGTCATTTGTCATTATCTAGCTTTTATAATAAAGTATACAACGATTCTGATTAAATTTAATCAGAAAACTACATTTGGTTTACTTTTTATATATTACTTGTAGTGTTTCTGCGAATATCATTTATCTATAGCTATTTGATGAATAAGATGAACCGTATTCAGAAGTTTTGAGACAGTTTAAAATGAAAGATTATAAAGAATAAAAAAGTATAAGAGAAGGATTTTAGACCTACACGTATCAAGGATAAATCGTCGATGATTGGAATTGCGAATATAATTACGAACTTGTCTCTCAATATCATTCAATTCATCTGTAGAATCAAATCGTGCCAGATTAGCACAGTGAGTCTGACAGAATGACTGAAAATAATAGTACAAAAATTCAAGTAAGAAAATAATTATTTCCTGATGAGATGGTAAAAGCATGGATTTCTTCGCTGCTTTTCATCTCCAGAAATCTACATATTATTTTCGACATATTTTTAAAATTTCATTTCCGACAATTTTTCTTTTTTTGTTTCCGATTGGAGATGAAAACTTTAGACGTTGAAAATTCAAAAAAACAAATTCGGAAATGAAATACAGCTTACGTCTTGTAGAGAGTTGGGCTTATTCTTTGTCACAACAGTAATGAATACTTATGTTTTAAATTAAATAAAATCTTACAAATCAGTATAATTTTGTTTACCTTTGCTGCCATTCTTGTATATGTCGCATTTGAAACAAAGAAGCAGTCATTTTTGTAGGTGAAAGCATGTTTTGGACATTGACATGCTACAAAAAACAAATTCAAAGAATTGTTGTCCACCGCTTTCGGTATCTATTAGTGTATGGTGTATGGGATGCCATCATTTATGGCATATTGTGTCAAATATGTACGCCCTATCATATACCATTAAAAGTAATCGCCAAAGTTGATTTTTTTAAATTATGTCAAACATGACCTAAGGTCAAGTGACAAAAAAATTATAGCATGCTCAGAAACATCTTGTTACATCAATACACAAATTCTATCTCTTTTCTATCAAAAGTTATAAGGAAAGACAAGAATTTTTAAAAGTAGAAAAAGTTTCATGGTCAAGGTGATGGGGATTAAAAATCTGTGCATTTAGAAAGGCCTTATCACAGGTAATACACAATGGCATGTGCAATAAGAAAGCCTTTTCTCATCTCTTTCAAAAGTTATGGTAAATGTAATTTTTAAAGTTTTGAAAAGTAGGTCAAAGTTCAAGGTAAATATCACATTGTCAAAATTATAGTATATTTGAAAGTTCTTGTATCTCAGGTAAGGTAATACACATGTGAAATATGAAAGTTAAATATTTTCTAGTTCCAAAGTTATGACCAAGGTTAAAGTTTTTGTGACAGGCGGACAGACTGACGGACGGATCGACGAATGAGATTTAATGTCCCCTCACTTTTGCAAAAAGGGGGTCAAAAAAGATTACAGTGTCTTAGCTTTATAAGGTGTACATGTTCACATCTATGGCTGCGAGTCTCAATTTATGCATTTAAGAAAATATTGTCTTTTTTCTTATCTCTCTTTTTTCTATCTCTTTTTAAAAACATATTGATATTGATACAAGCATGATATTCATTTTGTATAGTTGGGACTATGTTTTACATTTATTCCAAAAGGTTATTTTTCTGTTGAAAAAAAGCGCTGTTTTGCATTTAATAAATTGAAATGCAACACTTCATACTTACGAAAAATAAGCATGAAAGATAACAAATTCATTAAATAGGCTTTACTAATCATTCATCAACCGATCGAACTCAGAATAAACCCTTCATTGAAAAATCAGTAAAAAACCTACAGTTCACTGTTGTCCTTGCTGCTGTCGTGGAAGGTTTTGGCGTTGTCCTTACATTCATTGGTACAGCTTTTGTGGTTGTAAGCGGCTTTATGTGAGTATTACATAGATTCTTACTGCAGCAACCGCCGACTAAAGCTCTCTGTGATCTCCTTCCAAAGTTGTTCGTAGAAATAGTTGCAATGGAGTCGCAAACCTTGAATTATATAGAGGTATGTGATGCACGTGAACTGCTTAGCTCTGTTTCCTGCGACAAACCTTATAAAAAACAATCCTTTTAGAAAAAATGATACTTGATTAGAAGACAATCTATTAGTTTAATTTGTTCTTTCAAATTATAAGCATATAGACCAAAGAAATTTCCTGTTACATAATTTTTGATCGCAAAATTGAATACCTTCTCTCGCAGTAAATCTTTTAGCTGTGAAACGTTAATAAATTAAAACAAAAAATATGCATAATTGTGTTGTTTATAGGGATTGTGTGATGGTAACCAAATTTACCGCTTGTGGAGCACAACCGAGTCTAAATCCATGCTCTTTATAAGAGTTGACCGTCTCAAGTCCATAGCAAAACTAAAAAACAAAGAACTAAAATTAAAATATATATTGCCACCTGTTTTTTCCCATTTTTTAAAAATAAAAAGTCTTGGAAAAAATACCCAAAACAAATGTAGCCCTGTTAATCTTAACCACTACAAGTTGGATATACTTTAAGTTTACTATACTATCAATTTCAGTTCAGTGTGAAGTTTTGCATTACGTCACGATCTTTTTCGACAGATGCATCCAGCTTAAACATTTCACGTGATTCGTCAATTCATATTATCAACATTGACACAGAAATAGTCTGTTGTACGAGCAACCAATCAGCGATTAGAAGTAAGTTCCAGTCGTAAAGCTTGCGGTTAGGAGGCGTGTACTATTTACCTTCAGCGCAGTTGTCAAATTTGATCGTGACGTAACGTAAAACTTCACAATAAACTGCAATCTATAGTATTTAAAAAAATGAAAATAATCCACTTTTTAGTTCTTTGCATGGGTTTATAAAGACCTTAATATAGATTTTAGATACTTAAGGGGCTGAAAATTGAAAATGAACCCACCTCATCATGTCTACAAAGTGTTGTCATGTTGCACAATTCTGAGTCTGCAACGTATGGACAATTGTAACATGTCACTATGATAAAAAGAAAAGGTTGATATTTATTGTATTCAAACATATCCACTAGAACAATGGAATCATGTACACCTTTCTAGACTATATCAAGGAATGTGGTAATTCTCTTCAATGAAACATTAAGTCTTAAACATTAATAAAAGCAAAATGACAGACGATAAATAAATGAACATCATTTTACAAACGTACTGCATTTTCCACAGGAAACTGGACACAAGGACATAATACAATCCTTAGAACAGGAAGAGGGGTCCGAACGTATAAGATCCTGACAAATCATCGGAGAATTTTCAACACAGAAAGGATCAATGTGTTGGCGCTTCCCGACTAAAAGAACTGTAAATAACAATTTCTGTCAGATTTATGGATAAAGACCTGTTATATCTTTCATATCATCATCAGTTTTCCGCCTTATCGATGTTCACAAAAAGTGTTTTTTCTTTAATATTTACATTTGCTGTGTTTTTCTAGTAAGCCAGCTGCTAATAACGCATTTCATGAAAAATGCCTACGTGACAAGTCTTTGTGATTTACACGCCAATAACTCACACAAAACTTAAAAACATTCCTTAAATACATGTAAGTACCTCCATCAGTTTCTTCGGTTGTTGTTTCTGGTATTGTATTTGTTGTTAGAGTGGACTCCTCTGTTGTTACATGTATTGTTGTCGGATTCCTGGTTGTTTGTGTTGTTGGTAAAGTCTGTGTCTGTGGTGATAATGACAGTGTTGGTGGAGATGGTGATAATGTTGTTGTCGTTGATGTTGTCGTTGTTGGTGGTATTTTTGTTGTTGTCGTCGTCGTTGTTGTTGTTGTTGTTGTAATTCTGTGATTATTACACAAATCTGACGTACAACATGATGTTTCTAAACCTGGACTGTCACATATCTAATAAAATATTTCAGTTTAATTGCAAGTTCGGATTTGGTAGATCAGAAGTTTATAGGCCATAAAAACGGATAAATGCAGATACATACTAATCATATAAATATATACATACTTTTACAATTATTTTAATGATTCATATCAATTGTTGCACGAACACAAGAAATTTTGTTTTAATTTGATGGGAATGTACAGTTCCATTTAATAAAGAAAACTTGATACTTTTACATGGGAAATCTTACAGTTCCAAGAGCACAGCCTAGTTTGTAGACTTCCTTAAAATCGCTGTTGAATGATTTCACAGAAATGCATTGCTGGAATATAGAGAAAGTATTGAGTCAATACATATAATATAAATCATTCTGATTAAGATAAGATTCTTTGATCCGCTCTCATAGATCGCTACGTAGCGATCGATGTGAGCGGATCAAAGAATCTGATTTTTAAACAGATTGTAAAATAATTCAATGGCAAAAGAAAATTTTCACATTAAAATTAAGTTTCTGTACCGTGTGTCCTATAAATACCAGTGATCAGGAGATAATATATACAAACATGTTCGTTCGAAGGACATTCCGTGGTAGTGTTACAATTGTTCAGTTTATCAACTTCGTGGCAGGAATAACATTTTAAAGCTGAAAATGGAAAGAAAACTTTAGAATATACCCTTTAAGTAGGATGCAGAAATGGAATTATCGCAATTTAAAGCAATAATTGGCTCTATCAATTTTTTAAGCATTCATAATAATACGAACACTTGATCTTTAAAAAAAAAAATAAATTTATAAAAACCCTCTGCATGTTATTCTATTAGCCATTTATATAGAGAAAAATTAGTTAGATATGTTGTGATGTTTATAATTGATCGAATTGCTATGTAAAGTATATAAAGTATATGTGCATTTTAAACATATATGAAATTAGAAGCATAATAAATGCTCAATATTATGTAAACACAATACATTGAAAATAAGTATGGATCGACATGAACCTGATGTTTTGAACAGACTAACATATCTAGAAAGCTACGTTTGATATATTTCTTACATTTAATAAAGTACAGGCCTTGAAAAGAAAAGAACCATGTGCTTTTATGCATAAATTATAATAGGTTTTCATACCAATGTGTCAAAAGTTTCAAACAAATGCTTACAGAGAAAACATATACATTTTTATGGCTAAAATAATTACCACACTTTCCACACGTTCGCGGACAAACACTGGAGAGACAAGCATCATTACATAGATCCTCGTTCTGTGACATCATATCATGACACGCCTGACTACTGATGTCATCGCACCCCCTGACCTGATAACACTTCAAGTAAAACAGGACAGCGAAAGCCAACACTAATAAACAACCAAAACACAGGAAATATGTGGAAATTTAAAAAATAGCAACTATGTTAGCAATGGCAAAAAATTTTACACCTGTATTTAAAAAAATTTTTAACCGTTGGTCGTTCGATGAAAGGACATGATTTCTCTTTCTCTCTCTTTCCATCAAAGTAATTGACAAGCTTTAATTGTCAAGGGATCCATTTAACGATGCTAATTTATTCGTTTTCTTCCTTTAAATTATTCATATAAATGTTTTAGTTGTCAAAAACTATTTAGATTACATGTAAAGGTGCTTTAACTTTTTTGTCCCCCGCTTGAAAAGTGGGGGATATTAATTTGGGTTTGTCCGTCCGTCCGTCCGTCCGTCCGTCCGTCCGTCCGTCCGTCCGTCTTTCTGTCTGTCTGTAACGCTTTCGTTTCCACACGATATCTCGAGAACCCTTTGAGCTTTTGCAATGAAATTTAGCATAGCAACTCCCTCTGGACTAAAGAAGACCCCTATTGATTTTGAGGTCAAAAGGTCAAAGGTCAAGGTCATAAATAAGCAAATTCTGTCTGTTAAAACACTTTCGTTTCCACACGATATCTCTAGAACCATTTGAGCTATTGCAATGAAATTTTATGTAACAACTCCCTGTGGCCTAAAGAAGACCCCTATTGATTTTGAGGTCAAAAGGTCAAAGTTCAAGGTCGTAAATTTATACATTCTGTCTGTGTGTAACACTATCATTTCCGGGCGATATTTCAAGAAGATTTTGAGCTTATGCAATGTAATTTTATACCAAAACTCCCTAGGACGTCTCTCGCCCCTCTCAAAGTGCCCCGCCCCGTTTGTTTTATTAGTATTTATAGTATTCCATGTCGCTATTTTTAGCGCAGGGGCATGAGGAGAGTTATTGCGTATAAAACAGGTTCTCGGCGGAATTTATGTTCTTATTACATCTATTAGCACTCTTTAATAAATGCTAAATAAATCAAACACCATGGATTTTGTAAAATTTTGAGAATACCGAACATGAAAACATGAATATATACATGTATGTGACTTCATTTCTGCATATACTTCCAAACACGTAAAGCGACTCCGTGGTGTAGTGGTTATGTCTCTCGCTTCCAATGCAAGACGTCCCGGGATCGAATCTCGGTCGAACCTTTCTTTCTTTTTTTTTTTTTTTTTAAAGACTTTTTTTTTACTAAATGATAGTATTCAGCATGTGAAATGAAAAATTTATGAGGTTATAAAATCATCATTACAGTGTGATAAATATTCCATATAAAAAAATCTTCTATACACATAATAAAGAATAAGCAATCAAATCTTTATATGCATATTGACATACATGTATTTTATTTCCTTCAGTATACATGTATACTTTTAATAATTCTACAAATTCAGTTAGGGGGAGCCGACTTTTTCCCTAAGCGGGGGACACGAATTCTCTGAATTAGCTTGTTAATTTTTAGTTTCAAAGGTTCCATTTGATCGGTTAGAAAACAATTGCTTACTCCTGTCTTTTCTACAGAAGCAATGCTTAAGCAAAGCTAAGTTCATTATAAAATACAATTGTTATCCCGTTGAAACAAAGTTGAAGGGGATACTAGACACGATGAGTGTATTAAAGGAAACGTGTGTCAGTGGATGGGTTAGTTAATTCTGTGCGAAATAGAAGTGACGTGATTTGCATAGGGACCGATGTCGAAAACTGCCTTGATTAATAAATATGTTCTTTTCGAGGTGATGCTCCGCCTTATTGTTTCTTTTGCAGAGAATATTACTTTATAAAGAACATTTCATAGCTACCAAAGTTCTACTTATTAACGATTTTCTATATAATCAATTGGAGGTTCAAAAAGTGTTATCTGCCAAAGTATGGTCACACGGTTTAATATGAATGACTATCGATTTCATTCTTTAAATATAAGAATTAAGAAAAATTGAAAAAAAAATATTTGAAAGTCTTCTAAATTCGAAAGGATATCCTGTTTAGATATGAAAAAATCACCAACCTTTAAAATGTTTTGTGTCCATTCCGGAAACTTGAAACAGGTAAGGCTTAGAGTAACCTTTACTAACATTCTTATCAACTGATATGTACAATTCTCACTCAAGATAATACAATGTACATGCATAACATGTTGTAAGGACCTTACATGTACTTATATCAATAACAAAAATATCAATACCATATTAACCCGTTACAACTTACAGAATTGTTATTCAACATGAACACTGAATACTCGCTTCATAAGAAATATTACGTTATTTCCCCGCACGCACTTTATAGCAGGGTACAAGTTTCTCTAAAGTTTAACGTAAATAATATTATGACGTAATATTTAATTAGAAAATAACTTTTCTTATTTTGTGAGATTTAAGCAAGTACATGTATAATATAGTTGTAATTTAGCAATATGAAGATTAAATGAATTTTTTTAAGTGCGTGAAAAGGCGTGATTGCGGGGAAACGGTAAATGCGTGATTTTGAGTTAGAAATAGGAAGTGGTTTATGCGTTAAAGTGTGTGACTGCGGGGAAGAGAGTTAATTGCAGAAAAAAAGAAACTCTTTATAGACATAAATAGCCGAACTTTTAAAGATTATTATGTCGCCCCGAACGAAGTCGAGGACGACATATTGCGACTGAACGCATGTTTTTTTTTTTATGTCCAGGATGTTTCTCGTAGATGGCTGGGACAATATTCCTGAAACTTTCCTCAAAGGACGATCACTGGTTGTAGTTGTGTCGTGTGGTCATTCAGTTTCAAAATGGCTACCGTTGCCATGGAAACATGCAAAAAGCGAGGATTTTTGTCCGCAAGTGTTCTCTCTGCATGGCCCCTTAAACATTCGTCATGAAACTTTTTTATCTTAGTGATTAGTAAGTGAAGTTGTGGTATTCGCATTTAAAATTTTCAAATAATCAATCATTGCCATGGAAACCAGGGAAAAGTGAAAAATCTTCAACTCTGATTTTAAAATTAAAGTACAGAAAGGAGTGATACGAATTGATGTTTGTCCAAGCTTTGCTAATGGGTATTGTTTCAGTGAAACAAAAATGAAGGGAAATGAAAATAGACAAATTTTGGTATTGTTATCAATTTAAGAGTACTTTTGAGTACAATAAGAATGTTTTATAACAAAATAATTTTGAAAATGACCAATGACAAGGTAAGTAAATTTAAGAGTTCTTTTTTCGTTGATAAAGCAGTTATAAATGAGTTCAAAAGCCTAAGTAAATATCTAACTTGATGTTTCAATATATTGGTATTGGTAAGAATTTGATTTTTAAAATTTTCAAATGTACCTTGTGTGCTGTTATCAGAAATATTTTATGTACGACTTATCTAATTTTGTGGAACTCTTTTGTGTTATACGCGGGTTTTCAACCTGCTACTGTTCGCCAGTTTTTGCCATTATAGATTGTTTAAATCTTCGTTTTAGGTCTATGTTTAAATTGATCCTGGTCTGCTCAAAATCTTTTTACCAAATGATTGCATCACATATCCATATCACATCTGCTTCATCATCAATAAAAGATCAGAAATTTATACGTGGTGTACTGGTTAGCTATACTGTTTATCCAACAGTACACCTTGGATTTTTTATGTATCCACATCTGATATACGCCATTTCTGAAATGTATTGTTGTACAGTATTCCTAATGTTTCTACTTCACAAGTCAACTGTCAATATTTCACCGAGGAGTAAAGAATTTGGATAAACATTAATTTACTGGAACTCGCTACACATTTTTTTTGTATGAAATGATTTTATGAAGTTAACGATTCCTGTATAAGTAAAGTTATAACTTAATTTCATTTTGAATGTTAGGAATAAAATTCGAAACTGACATATGATTTTGAAGACTTTCCTTCCTAGAAAGGGGGCTACACATGTACATGTATTTGTATAATAAATATTCGGATTAACACTTGTAGAATTAAAGCAGTTTGTGTAAAGTAAATTGTGAGCCTCAGAAGTAAACTTAAGACAATGCTGTTACCTTTTTTCAACTGGGACAAGTACATACAATCTATGGAATTCTTTTTTCACTTCTGCATCATTGAACACAGAAGAATTAGATGGTTTTCTTATTGGACCTTAGTCGCTTTATGTAAGCATACAACTGATACTTTTAATTTATTTTGAAAAGGTATCAAGGTCTTCTTTCTTAAATTGGGCCCGCTGCCTGGCGTAATCTTCCTTAGAATCAATACTATTTATGAAATTATGACGCCAGTAATTAAAGCAAAAAATCAGGTTTCCGAAATTTTGACCCTTTTTAAAAGAAATATTATTAGGTCCTCATTATTACATGTAACAGTTTTCTCGTCACCAGAAAACATTGAATTATAATTTGAGAAACATTCACGTAGTAATTAATCATTATAATACATTTAATTTCAATGTTTTTAAATCACGTAAATAAAATGTTCTTTACAAATAACATGGAAATTTAAGTTTTGGCGAGTGAAAGAGATGAATAGGGTTTAGTAAGGTCAACTTAAAAATAATGTACGTTTGTCTTCTTTCGACTCAAGGTAAAATTATTGGGACGGTAGGTAGGTGGGAAATTTGTTGAAAGGATAAAAGGTATAAAAAAAAAATATTGTGTTTTGGAATTAAAAAAATGAGGAGGGGTACTCTTAATCAATCAGTCGGGAGAGAAAAACCATACAATTCTTTACAGATGACCTTATTCATGAAACATTTTTAAAAGTGCGGTTGAATTTCAGAACAGGATACAATCATAAAATTATGGTATATGCTTAATCAAATTTCATTTCAATTTTTCATTTGCATATCATTGATACATGTAATCATGTGTATCTTCTATTTATAGATTTTGGTACAGTTTTAACCACCGGTTTTCAGGAAATTGAACATGAATGTTTAAAAAATACTTTTTTTTCAGAAATAATAAAAAATGTATGATAAAAAAATACTTTGTTGTATTTTAATTCTTACATAGTCAACGGGAATGTTTCAAGTGAATTGAAAATGAAATTAAGGATAATAAATTAAAAATTAAATAAATTCAAATTAATTTTAAAAAATTTTAAAAATTCGTAAAAAATAACGGATAAATATCTGCGTTCTGGGAATGTTGTTAATGATTCTATAAACAAAAGAGGCATTTATGGCAGATTAATTTGCCCTTGTACCAAATTAATCTCATTTAATTGATGGAAGCACATATGTTGTTAAAACTAATAATGGAACGAATTGGCAAAAATCTTAAAGTCATCTTGGTACGAGTTAATTAGTTGGTATCACTTCCGCTTCCGTCACTCAGAAAAATAGCGCGGCAAGAAAACAGCCATTACAAGTTATTAAGAAAAAGCAAAAACAATCTGCAGACTGCGATCGTCAAACAATGCCGCCAGTCAGAGAAAGAGTCAATACGCGTTCCAGGAAGGAGCGGGAGCGTAATTTTGTCTCACCGGGCAGAGGGCGAGGGATCCGGAGGCGACCAAACCAGGCCAATCGGACCCCGCAAGCTGACCCACCAACCAACAGTCCACCGAGAAGGGGAAACGCGGCCAGGAGGACACCAACGCAACCAGCCACAGTAACGGTGGCGGACCCCATGTCGGAATCAGCAGATCTCCCAGAGGGCCTAGACGAGGTCGAGGCTTCTAGCAACGCGGGTGAGTCCAATGTTTTTAGCCTCCCCATAGTAAATGATATATCTCTAAACTCAATGAATGATGAATTTGATGGCCCCCCATTTAACATCTCGGACTACCAACCAGCCCAGACTCCCAGCTCTATAGATCCTATCAGCGCCCACGTCCCCCTAAAAATCAAACAAAAGATTTGGGAGGGAAAATTTATCGATCTGTCAATATTGCTTAAGTCGGCGCGGGAAATTTCAGATCATTTAGACACACAAGGCCAAATACAAATACGTAATGGCACAATGTGCCTTGTCAAACAAAAAACACGCACCTTTTTGTCAATTGAAAAATGGACGTCGGCCTTCCTGATCTTCACTAGTATAATGTTAGAAAAATTCAGAACACGAGCACAAGAATTTTTGAAATATAAGAGGGATATTAGAATGGCCGCTGACAGATCTGGGAATGGTTGGTTCACCTATGATGAACAGTTTAGGCTGCGAAAAGTATCTGACCCACACTCATCTTGGGGTATCATAAACTCTGAACTCTGGTTGATACATGTTACAAACAACTACGTCACGCAGGCCCAAGAAAAGCCCATATCCCCCCCACAAAATTTCTACCCTCATCACAAACAGCCCAACAATACAGTGGCTAAGAGAAATGCTAGTTCAACATCAAATCGTTACTGCTATGATTTTAATTCAGGCAAGTCATGTAAATTTTACCCAAATTGCAGGTTTGTCCACTCATGCAATTCATGCGGCGGATCACACCCCTCAATCAAATGCAGGAATAGAAACACCAAATTCTAACATGGATATCAACAGTTTAGGAAAAACCCCAATTGATGTTCACGTTTTGTCTGCTTATCTACAAGGTTACAGCGCTAAATCTTTTCTTATAAATGGTTTTCTACACGGTTTTCAACTCCAGTACAATGGCCCAAGAATTTACAGGGAAGCACGAAATTTAAAAAGTGCTTTAGCAAACCCCAGTATAGTGGAACACAAAATACACAAAGAACTCCTCCTTTGCAGGGTGGGGGACCATTTGAATATCCACCTTTTTCATCCCTTCAAATCTCACCCTTAGGACTTGTCCCCAAAAAAGACAGAGATTTCAGACTCATTCACCACCTTTCCTTCCCGGATCAACAATCGATCAATTCTTTCATAGATCCGGCTGCATGTTCTGTACATTACGCATCAGTAGACGATGCAGCGGCTATCATCGCGACACTGGGGGCAGGCACTTTACTAGCTAAATCTGATATAAAATCTGCATTCCGGCTTATTCCTGTGGCCATAGATGATTTCGATCTATTGGGGTTTAAGTTCCAGGGTAAATACTTTTTTGACAAAATGATGCCATTCGGGGCATCAATTAGCTGTGCAATCTGGGAGAAGTTCGCAACTGCATTACATTGGATCATCCAATC